CATCCCCCAGCCCCCGCCACTCCCAGCAGCAGCCCGCGCCTGCAGTCTCCGCTGCCAGTGCATGCAGGCAACCCAACGTACTGCCCGCACAACTGATATATTTTTACATGTTTTGTTTTTCAAACAGAATAATTCTGTAATACACCAGTGATCTAAGTTTTGCATGCCGTCGTATTATTTTCGCGGTCGGTTGCCGCTCGTTTGCACGCAGCAGACACCACAAAGTTCCTGATGCAGAAGCTTCCCCCTTCTCTACACTATCCTGGTCAGGCCACAATCGGTCAGTATTTGGCGGAACACATTAACACATTCTCTAAAAACACGGGGGGTGACTCGCGATCTACCGCATGAAGGGGTGAATCCGCGAGAAAAGCGCGACAAGGACAGCGCAGTGCGTTCCCCCCCCCCCCCCCTCTCTCTAGACCGACTGGATCTGGACGCTAGGACCGGCTCGTCACAGCCAACGGCCAAGACACCGACCGCACTCGCGGACCGATCACCGAAGGATCATTCGAACACCTAGCCGAAGACAAAAACGAAATAATTGAAGAAAATAAAAACAGTCGTGCCAACACGAGAACCGCCAAGTTTGCAGTGTACAGTACCTCCAAGTAATAATGGTTCCACCCGCCCGCCGAATAAGGGAAAATTTGTATCGCTCCTCGTGCAGACAGTCCTCTCCTCTTGTAGTCTTGCTTATGAGGAAGTTGCCAGATAAGAGGAAGAAGGTAGCCCCGTCCCTAAACAAAGCAGAAGATGAGCGACAGTCAAGCAGAGGTTAGGATGCGTGTCGTTAGATTTCAAACAGTTTAGAATGGGCCTATGCATCTAGCACCTTGGTACCACCTATACCAAAGTTTTTTACGACAGTTGAGTCATTATCATTGAGTTAAATTAGTACCAATGCAATATGTCCGTACACTAACCTAAACAACGACACCGGGACGGTTTAGAGGATGGTGTAAACTTACTTTTCCGAAGCCAAAGTTTGCAGAAGCACTTTTGTTACGCCGGTCGTTTATGGACAAAATTTTTCTTTACAAATCCTACAAAACTTGATTCATGATCACACATCCACTTGCGACATAATGATCGCACAATCACAACACAAATCTCAGCACTTCGACACCGCGCTACACTTTGCCCCGGCACTGCACCGCAACTCACTCCTTTGGTGACAGCCGGCACGACGTCTCTCTCTCTCCCCTTCGCACTCTCCGGCAGGCCGGCCCGGAGCGGCTGCATCCGAAGACGGCACCGGCCAGCGCTTGAGCCCCCGCCGCCTTGCTTTACCGACCCCCCGACCCCATAAGCGGCAGGCAACCGTTCTGACGCGGCGGAGCACCCTGTTTGTAGCTACGCCGTTGTAGCTACAACCGACACTGGCACCATGCTGTGGTGGCGGTATTGCGAGGGGTGAATAACTCCCCTTTCCATGTGTACACCCCTAATTCTGCTCAATTCAAACTAATTCAGACCAATCCAATTTAATTCAAACAAATTAAAAACTAATTCAACTAATTCAGTCCAATTCAAGACAATGTTCAGTCAATTCAAGGCAATTCAAGCCAATTCACGCTAATTCAGTAAAATAAAATCGCAATAATTCAAACCAATTCAAAACCAATTCAACCAAGTCAGTCCAATTCAAATTCAATTCAAGCCAATTCAAGCTAATTCAAATTCAATTCTTGAAATTTGTACACCCAATTCAGGAGTTATCCACCCCTCGCGGTATTGCGTGTACAAGACCCAGGAATCTATCTGTAAAGGAGCTCCATGACCTGCAGTGGACCCGTCAACCGTCTCAGTACCCCCAGGAGTATGTTTTGACGACTGTGGCTAGATGCGGCTGTTCCCATTCCGACCACAGAATTCGCCAAAGACTGCGGAGGGATAAGAAAGTACTCCCCCACATTTCATTTAATTTTTAATATTTGCCCGTGTGGTGGTGGTGAGGGGGTAGAGGGGCGTGTGGGGGGGCGAGTGGGGTGCCCTGTCCCCCCCCCCCGGCTCCGCACGCTCCCGCATTTAGGTGCAGGTCCCCTGCCCCGTAACGCCCGAGTCAAGTACGCGCGGAGCTAGTTGTAACCTCACTATCAGACAAAACGAGGAATAAAAGCGTTCCTTTCCTCGAATTGATTTCTGCCGTTCTTTACACTATGATGACTTTGTTGGAGAAACCTGCTTTTTAACACCCCTGGAGGATGATCAGAGAGCTCCTGGAAAACGTTCTTCCGACGTTTCCCCATCACCCTGTAAAACTCTCTGATCGACATCCTGCCGATCTTCCTTGGCCGTACTCAGTGACCTATAAAACCTACAACCTGGATACACTCCTTACCTTTACACTGACCTTCTGATAAAGTGCGCTTCGAACACCTAATCCTAGACCACTGGCACACGGTACCTTGCAGCGGCACGCACCGCACCACCCCTGGGGCCGCGGGCGTGGGGTATCTGCAGCACTTACGCCCCTGCCGCTGTCTGCTGGCCGCGGCGGCTGGCGCGCAAGGGGTGCAGTGTGTGCGCGCGCCACCTAGCGGCCGCGCCGGGGACCGGGTCGCTGCGCGGCGAGCCGCCGGCGCCACCCGAGAGAGCGCGCCGCGCACCACCGGGAGCAGCCGGCCGAGGCTGGAGCGGAGGGGACCGGGACAGACCGGCTGGAGCTGGACTGGCTGGACAGAGCTGAGCTGCTGTATGACGAACGAAATGCGTTCCACGGCCTAATGTCATACATTGTGGGGCAAACCAACACCAGTAATGTCAGAAAAGTCTTGAGTGTGTCTTTTACCATGTGACATTCTGTACCCATTTCGGGCAAACTACTATAGTACCTGAGTACCACATTCTCTTCATCTAGTTTTTTTTTGTCTTTTTAGCAGATGATACCTTACAAACTTAAACTTACTTACACTTAACATACATATAACTATACATGAGTAATGTAAGGTGTCATTGCTTTTACTCTCGATAAAGAAATATTAAAGAGAACCAGAAGAAAGCTCATATACATATTGGGCTGGGCCTGCTAGGCGGGATCGTGAGGCGCCGTACGTCGCCAGTCGCCAGCCGCCAGCCGCCGTCGCGTCAGCCACGCCACGCGTTGTAGCGCTGCTGAGGCGAGCCGAGTTCCCCCGAGCCGAGCCCCGAGCGGAGCCCGAGCCCCAAGCCGAGTCAGCCGCGCTAGCGGCCCCCCTCCCTTCTACCGCTGGAGCCCCCGCACAGCACCGCACCGCCACCTACCCCCTCCCTTTCCCCACAAGTGTAAATACGGAAATATAATAGACTGGAATAGAATAATTCTTCACAAGGTATCATCTGCTTTCACGATCCGTTTCTGGTCGGAACTTTTTTTTATTGTCTTCTCGTTTTATTGATTTGTTATGCATTCCCCTGCATTACCTCAAGCGTTATATTTCATCGCGCCGTCTGTGTGTCTCGTTCCTCCGCCTTGCATTAATGTCCGTCTCTCTCTCTCTCTCTCTCTCTCTCTCTCTCTCTCTCTCACCGCACCGCACACCCCTTTTCACGCCACATCGCGCCCTTTCACATATATCGGTCGCGGCCTTACGACCCCGGCGGCGCAACGGCGCGGCGGCACCCCTCCTTGTGGACAAAGCTATGAGCAGGGCAGCCTATATCGGCGACGAGAAAAGGAAAATCCTTTACACGACACATTATCTCTCCGTGTGCCTCTTATTGTTTCCCAGGGGGCGGCGCGCGGCGTCCTTGCGGCGAGCGCCGCGGTGGCTGAGGACGACGCAAGCCGATTAAAGACGACGGCGACGGCGGGATTACAAACCATCCACACGGCGGCGGGTAAAGGTTAAGGCAGCCGGCGAAAGGGGGCTCATCATTGTGGCAGAGCGGGCGATAAAGTCGGGCGTTTGTGCTCGGCATTGTGCTGCGGCTCCCCGTCCCACACATCGGCTCCGTGATGCGCGCCCTCTTTATTCAGGGTCTAGGGCGTGTTGTGAGGCTACGCGCGCGTTATCGATGATCGAGCCCAATCACTTCGACAGCGAGGGGTTCACCGTGCGGCGAAATAAAGCGAAAAGAGAGAAAGGAAGGATAAATATATAGGACGGGAAGAGAAGCAGAGACATAGAGAGAGAGAGGAAGGGAAAATCTCAACAAGGATTGGTGCAAAAATTGTTGTGGCCACTTTTCCAAAGTACAGTTATAAATTTCTGCATTTGCATTGTCTTATTTCACCCTAAAATTAACATTTCCCAGTATTTAAAAAAAAAATTGTGTTTGGGTAATTTACAGGTGTATAAACTGGTACAGAAACATTAATTTTTTTCACAGGGGAGTTGTAGAGATGTCCAGTCGGCTAATATTGGCCAGCCCATTACCGCTGTCCACGGGAGGCCGTGTAGATTGCCCTCCCGTTGGCCGGTCGGGTTGGCCGGCGGTGGTCTCTGTCGGCCCGGACAGCACAGAAGGGCCGTGAGCCCGCTCCACCGCAATACGTCACGACCACCTCCACCATGTATACACTCGAATTATTCCTGTAATGTAACGTAATAATAGTTCTCAATAAACAAGCAAATCAAGTGTGTCAATGTTGCACACTTGAATGCGTGTAAAATGCAGTTCGTACAGGAACGGGTACGTACAAAGTAGTGTGCAAAATTTCAAGAAAAATTAAACCGTTACTTGCGTTTCAAGCGTGCTAATAGGAACTTACACACACCCACAAGTGTGTGAGATCGACGTGATATTCCCACACTTAAAATCGAATCAGTTTGTCATTGGCAGGCGGCGTCCGTCTAATCCGTCCCCGAAACGTCTGCCTGTTCGTCTTTATCCTTCCGTCCGACCGTCCGTCCGCCGGGCGCAGCGCAGCCCGAACACCCTGCCCCCCCCTCCCCTTTCCGCCCCCTTCACTTCTAGCACGGTCGTCCAATAAAATGCTAATTCCCGTTTGTCCGCACTAATCAACGGCGGGGAGAGGCGAGGATTCAGGAGGGGGCCCTGCAAAGTGGAGAGAGAGAGAGAGAGAGAGAGAGAGAGAGAGAGAGAGAGAGAGACGGGGTCGGAGTGAGAGGTATTGGTGGGAGAGAGGGGGGGTGGAGAAAGACTATCAAGGAGCGAGGAGGGGGAAATGGGTTGATTAAAATAGTGGGTGGGACCTACTTTGGTGACATGAGCGACTGAAAGCAGGATCAATGATTACCCAGGAAGTCATTCTCTCTCTCTCTCTCTCTCTCTCTCTCTCTCTCTCTCTCTCTCTCTCTCTCAAACACACACACACACACACACACACACACGCACACACTACTCACCCTGGCACCCTGGCGTTCTTTTTCACGGCGCCGAAGAAGCGTTGCCTACTTACCTGCAGCGTCGGTAGGAAACCTCGTCGACGACGGCCCCCCGGCAGCGGCGGCAGCAGACCATAGCGCCTGGCAGGGTAGGCAAATCCTCTGTTCGTCGGACAGGCGAGCGGAGCGGGCGGCCTACCCGGAGCGGCCGCAGGCGTGCAGAGTAGTAGTGGGTGAGGAAGAGAGAGAGAGAGAGAGGG